AAAGTATTACATTCGAGTAGAATGCGTACCTCTCCCGCACAAAAGACTTTTTATTTATTTGGCTTCTCAAAATCTGTTCAACCTCACTCGTTTAATAATTGCAAGGCAAATTCTACGAAGAGACAAAATCAGATTCATGAAGCTTGATTTTATAGCGATGTTATCGTTTTACCTTGCTAAGCGGTACGCTCGGACTTTTTGTGACTCTAGCGCTCGTCGACGGTTGTTGCGCGGATTCGGCGCTCTCATCTTCGACATCTTCAAGAATTGTTCCTTCGGTACCTTCCTAAAGGTATTAAATTCAAATCGACTATTGCCTATAGCTTTACGTACCTTGATCGGAGGAGGTTTCCGAGTGCTTGCTCTTCTATCCTTCTTTTGAATGGTAGATGCGTTTGAAGAGTCAGAATGGGGATCAGGGGCAGTTGGGGTGTAAGAGCGTGGAAGATCCAGAGGCCGAGTAGCTAGTTCATCCTTCAGTTGAGCCAGTTCAACTTGGCAACTAGAAAAATTTCCATACATTTAGTGCCTTAAGCAAAAAAGGAATCCACTTACTTGTTCAGCATCGCTCCTAGGGGAAGTGTGTAATGCTCTTTCGATTCCATCCTTTCGATAATTTCAGCTTGCCATTGTGTATCCTGCTCACATGAGGGTTTTTGCTTCACCTGCAAAGGCTCAACTCTGTTAACTTGTTGAGTTCAAAAACACAACAAACCCTGTTTTGGATAGCGGGTATGATGAGCAAAGTGATAGGAAGTTGGGCATGAAGAATGAAGTCGATAAACTGCACCGCACTTTGACCACCTTGCTTTTTGCTGATGAGATCTAGAATAAAGTTCGACAATGAATAATCAGCTAGTTTATTCAAGTTTCTTGTGCAAAAAAATCTCCGTGAGAGATTTTGGAGGAGGTGACAGGTTGGCTAAGGATGTTTATGGTGGTAGATGGTCTTCATGTTTTGCAATTCTTAAACAAATCTGTGGATGAATAAAAGCTGTAATCCAAGGAAAATTTGATGAACTTTATTTCGCAACAAATCACATCTCCTTATAGCATCGTGCATGCTTCTGTTTGACATTAAAAAAAACTTCTTCTGATGCTTTCGTGCAAGATTGTTAGATAGCTTGAATTTTCAAGAAACTCCTAACTGTGAAGGTTTATGTTTGAAACTTGGATTGCAATTGTCCTAACACTAATTTTCTCAAATAACCTCTTCAATTTCTTATATTCGTCATTATCAAAACACTATTATTCTAGAGCAAACAATACCATGATTACTGTCCCACGAAATTCGAAGTCAAGCATGTATGATTTGGCCAGCCTGTATTCATTTTTGCAAAAAAAAGT